ATGAATTGAGATAAAGATATTCAAGTTTTTTAAATTTCTTTTTTCTTTGCTTGTGAGCTATTAAAAGCAGAGTTCYGTGCAGTGGCAGGTTGTCTTGACGTGTATGTTTAAGAGCCTCTCTACACAAACAGCTCAATTTTTTTTGCATTTCACTCCCCGTTACTTATGTTTTAGTAACACAGAAAAGGCTGATTTGTTTCAAACAGTTCAAAATATATCCGTCTCGGGTACTGGTACATTCAATCCCAGTAACGTTGTTTAGTCGTTAATTAAGACATCAAGACAACAACTGCATATACCATTTTTAATTTATTTGCAAGAATATTCAACATTAATTTCCGAAATTTTACCAAGCGTTTATTTAAAATCACTATAAAATATCCGCTCATGTTGATTTTTATGAGAAAAGGAACTTTTATCTTTTTCTATCTTCATATGGAATTTTTTTGGAGATTCATAATATTGCCATATCCAGTCGCATTAAGAATTGCTGGTTTTCAAGTTACGTAAGTTACGYATAATAGCTGCCGTCTTGAAGGCACTTCAACAAGGGATTTTCATATTAGTATCTATTGTTCATACTGGTGGGAACTAGCGGTAAACTAGTGTGAGYTGCGTCGGTGTTTCTAAAGAAACAGTTGTGTAAAAAGATAAATTAAACACCGTTTYGGACGTTAATCCTTCGTCGGAGTAAAAGACTTTACCGAACGGTCAGTAAGTTACTTCATCTACTTTTTTACGGTGTTTAATTTATCTTTCATATTACACAACTGTCTATTGTTCATACCTCGAATTTGACCGACGTTCTTTTGTTGTTTGAATCTCATGGGAATAATTGAAAACTAGCAATGAACATAAAATAGAAAGACCCGAATGTTCACTGTGAATTAAGTAAATTATCGATTCGTACAGTTTCCTAATTTGGTAAGCTTACCTAAAGTGCATTGACCTCGGCTGATTTTTTCACCACAATTTGTCTACACCATTGGCAATACCGAATTTGCAAAGAATAAAAAGATTTTTCTAGGGTTAATACTTATAACTAAAATCAGATTCGCTGTTTCGTTCTTTCCTATGCTTCAAGGATCATTGCTATGGCTGTTATAACGGTGGAACGTGTGTGACGTCATCCTCCGGGCATAAGTGCTCGTGCATATTTGGATACAAGGGGGACCACTGTGAAAAACGAGGTTAGTCACGTGTCTATATTTTTTTTAACAGGTCCATTTTGAAGGGCCCAGGTGCATCTGAAGACTTTGTACGATATTTTTCAACTACGAAAAACCTTCTTTTATTTTAAACCAATCAGAAAATAACTTTAAGCAAAAGATCATTTTTAAACAACTATTCGACCGCAAAGTTTCTTGGATGCACATGTGACTTGAAAATCTTTGGATCAGCCCCTTTGCAGATATTATTGGTGACTTAGAAAACCTGCCGCAAAACCCTTTATGACTATAATCCAGCATTCACATCCATTCCTTTATTGTAGTTTTTCCATCAAGTCATTCATTTAATTGTAATTCAGTCATGTGATTCCTCTCTAGTAAATCAAGACTGCTCGACCCTACAAGCAGCAGGGTACCACGAGAACGGAGTGTACTCAATTGACCCAGACGGTAAAGGCGAATTCGCCGTCCTTTGCGACATGAAAACTAATGGGGGTGGATGGGTTGTCATCCACAAGCGCTTTGACGCGTCGGTCAGTTTTAACCGCGTCTGGAAAGAATACAAGAAAGGTTTTGGAGTMATGAAAACTGGTGAATTCTGGCTTGGAAATGACTTTATTCATCGCTTAACCGCAGCCAAACCAACACAGGTATACATTGAATTGGAAGACACCAACGGACTTCGCAGCTATGCCAAGTATTCGTCGTTCAACGTAAAGAGTGAGAGCAATTTGTATCGCTTAGACGTCTCGGGGTATTCAGGTACAGCTGGTGATGCAATACACCATCCAACACATCCATCTTGGAGGTCGAACGGTATGGCCTTTAGTACTCCAGATCGGGATAATGACAAGTACAGCGCGGGAAATTGTGCTGCTGATTCTTCTAGATCTTGTGGATGGTGGTTCAATTGGTGCGCCTCAGCGGTATTAACCAGCACCAATATGGAATGGATGACCCTTTCAAACCAAAACATCAAAAAGGCGTCCATGAAAATTAAACCTACATCTTAGGTACAGCACTTACCCGCTTATAAGAACCWGCAATTTAAGAACCTGTTAGCCTAAAAATGTCAATTTAAACCCCATTTACATAAGAACCTATAGCCTCAAACTTTAAACAGGTTCTTGTAGATAAATTCTTACGGAAATCAACCTAAAAAGAGTTTTTATGTAAAAAAAACTCAAACTGTAATGAACTTGAACATGTATACACTCCTAAATTTGGCATAAATAATGTTTAAAAAGCTTGTAAATTTTCATTACATAAGGGATAAATATACCGGAACCTACATTTAAGAAACTGCGTAGCCTATAATTTCACTAAGCACCATTTATATAAGAACCCGTTTGGTCTAAATTTAAAAAAGATGGGTTCTTATAAGCGGGTAAGTACTGTAGTATCCTTCACAGGAGACTCTTTATTTCGATCTTCATGGGTGACGCAGTTCCATAAGAGTCCTATCAGAAAACAGGTAGCAAAACGATCAAGAGACGGTTGAGGAGGAGGCCTTGTGCATAAAAGAAAATGGCAAACTAATATAGAGACTTTTCAATGATGACCGTGAGATTGTGGACAAACTAACCTTATAGCTGCATCCTATCATTAATACTAATTACTTATTGCCTTACATCAGTTCATTTTATATTTCATAAGTGTGCCATGTTCCACCTTTACCTTTGATCCATGTCGCTTGTTAGGTCTTAGTACCATCACCAATAGGAATTCTGCTTCTAATGTCAAACGAAGCTAAGTAAATAGGAATCGGACTAAATTTCAGATAGAAAATACCTTGTAAAAATCTTTAGAGAATTAGTTGAATAAAGCTCAATCAAGAATCAAGATCCCGAGAAATAATCTATTAACAGAGATCTTGCTTCTCACTGGTCGCGTGGTGCGGCGGCGCTTCTCATTGGTTACTTCACCACTCCTCGCTCTTCATGGCGCAGAAGTGTTGTAAGCACTTGTCGCTATGTATTGATTGGTTCATAAACCTTTCCAGTAAGGACAGGTTTCGTATATTCACATCCTCAGCCTTGGACGGTGGAAATCAATTTTATTTCTTTTCAATTTTACTTGTTTTCACTCTTTTCCAAATGACCCAAGACGGCGTCCAGTTTGGAAACATTGTGAAAGTTTCTGAAGGAAATATCTTGCAGAAGAGTGAAAGTTTTCTTTCAAAAGTGACAACAAAGAATGAAGAGGAGTGCTGGGTCAACTGCGTGTGGAACGAACGACGTTTTTCCCTGAATGTTGTATTTGTGAACCAGACTTTTCTGCAGGGTGAGGACAGGAATTACAGTCAAAAGACATGAAGCGCGCCCCACGAATAGTTCGCTATTCAATATACATTATTGGATTTTTTTTTTATTTTTCGTTTTCAAACTTCAGTTGATTAATGCAAAATTAAATTCTAATCTCAAACTCTGATAATGACAGAAAACAACACAGGACTTCCAGCTTTTTGAGACCGTCATTCGGCCTTTCTCACGAGAAGGATCAGATCCAACCAAATTAACAGACAGCATATTGCAATGCATCGACTTGTGGAAATTATGAGTAATGAATAATAGCAAAAATGTATACAATGAATAATGGCCATAAAAATAAGACACGAATACAGAATAATTAGCATGTAAATATTTAACAATAATTAGACCTCGAGGTCGAGTGGACTACGAGCTAATAGCCCATGAAGCCGAATTCGCGAGGCCGAATGGGCTATTAGATCATCATAGTCCACGAGGCCGAGAGGTCTAATTGTTTTAGTATAAACATACTAATCGGTCAAATAATGAAAACACATTGAAATATCCTTAAAATAATTTATTAATGAGATTGATTTTCCCGCGAGTGGTCTATCACAAATTAGACCATTAGTAGAGTAGCCAATCACAGTGCAGTATGAGTGATAGACCATTAGTATGTTTAATACTTAAATATCCGTTAGACCCCGACACAGCAACGAAAACAGTACAAAAGGCAAATGATAATGCAATTATTGTCGAAATAAAAAAGAAACCTTATTATTTTTAAGAATAATCGTATTACTAATATTGTTGTGTATTGTAAGTAATGCACAAGATAAGTTCAAAGTATGTACAATTTCATGNTAAATAGGAATTTGACTAAATTTCAGATAGCATAGAAAATACCTTGTAAAAATCTTTAGATAATTAGTTGAATAAAGCTCAATCAAGAATCAAGATCCCGAGAAATAATCTATTAACACGACAAAAGAGTAACATTGAATACCAAATGACGCCGTCAGAGATCTTGCTTCTCACTGGTCGCGCGGTGCGGCGGCGCTTCTCACTGGTTGCTTCACCACTCCTCGCTCTTCATGCCGCAGAAGTGTCGTAAGCACTTGTCGCTATGTATTGATTGGTTCATAAACCTTTCCAGTAAGGACAGGTTTCGTATATTCACATCCTCAGCCTTGGACGGTGGAAATCAATTTTATTTCTTTTCAATTTTACTTGTTTTCACTCTTTTCCAAATCGCAAAAACGTCATTAGTAGTTAAGACCCAAGRCGGCGTCCAGTTTGGAAACATTGTGAAAGTTTCTGAAGGAAATATCTTGCAGAAGAGTGAAAGTTTTCTTTCAAAAGTGACAACGAAGAATGAAGAGGAGTGCTGGGTCAACTGCGTGTGGAACGAACGATGTTTTTCACTGAATGTTGTATTTGTGTGAACCAGACTTTTCTGCAATGCCAATGTGAGGACAGGAATTACAGTCAAAAGACATGAAGCGCGCTCCCCGAATAGTTCGCTATTCAACACATTATTGGATTTTTTATTTTATTTTTCGTTTTCAAACTTCAGTTGATTAATGCAAAATTAAATTCTAATCTCAAACTCTGATAATGACAGAAAACAACACAGCACTTCCATTTTTGAGACCATCATTCCTTTCTCACGAGAAGGATCAGATCCAACCAAATTAACAGACAGCATACTTGCAATGCATCGACTTGTGGAAATTATGAGTAATGAATAATAGCAAAAATGTATACAATGAATAATGGCCGGAAAAATAAGACACGAATACAGAATAATTGGCATGTAAATATTCACCTTTAGACCCCGACACAGCAACAAAAACAGTACAAAAGGCAAATGATAATGCAATTACGGTCGAAATAAAAAAGAAACCTTATTATTTTTAAGAATAATCGTATTACTAATATTGTTATGTATTGTAAGTAATGCACATGTTAAAGATAATCTCAAAGTATGCACAATTTCATGAAGACGCCATGAATAGTGCATGTAGGCTTCACTCTGCAGGCCTGACTTCGCAGCCGTTCAACGCTTCCAGTGGTTGCTGGGAATATATGAAGTAACGCCTGTTCATTTATAACATGTCATCAATATAATTAATTTGGTTTGACGCGAAAAGTAATCATCCAAATCATAAAAAAAAATATTAATCTCGGCCAAATTGACTAATATCAGGACGTAAATTTGAGAAAAAGCAATTTGGGTTATAGGTTTTGACCCTAAAAACGCGGACACGTCCTGACTTCTCGCCGACCTTCGTTATGAAAGCGTGAAGTCGGATATATTAACCCAGGCAAGGCCGTTCTCGAACCATGTTGGGCCTGTGGGGTTTTATGGGTTTAAATGAGTATTTAGCTCTCATTACCAAACAGYCTCAAACAACGGTAAAGTATTGCTACAACCATATTTTATAGTAGTTGATGTATTTYAATTTTGTTAATGGTTCAGTAGTTGCAAGCAAATTAATAATGAGTTATTAATAACTATTAAGGGATGAAAAATAAGACATAAAATACATCATGATGTTTGTTAACTTCTGTAGATCAATGTATTGCTTTGCTTAGTGCTGAATATTCCTCTGGGATTGATTTATCACAAACTTCTCCACCCAAAAAGAACCCCCCCTGCCATCCGTCACCTTGTTGGTTTACTTTTAGGATTGTGGATTGGATGGATATGTATTGATAGGTGGGTGCAAGAAACTATATCTGAAAACTGAAATGTTAGTTAAAAGATAAATAAAATAATGATTGGCGATAAATACATCAAATATGTAGAAATTATGATTGTTTTGAGACATTATTCCAAGTAGAATAAAATTATATATATAAGAAATTATGGAATGTCATCACCAATATTCTTTTCAGATATTATTAGTGCCAGGCAACTCCAAAAAATRTCAGCGATGATATCCCTTAATTTCTGATATATTTTATAATACTTGGAATATGAGTCAAATTGATTATAATTTCTGCATATTGCTGTATGCAGTATATAAACAAATAGAAATGTATAAAACGTTTATTCCATTCATTTGGTCAACTTAATTAGCTAGTAAATATAGATTTGTAACTTAATAGGTCACTTGCATGATGGCATAACTACCAGAATGCCTTGGGCATTTTGTTTGTTATTCAGATTTTAAAGTCAATTAGAGATTTAATCGTATGAGGAAGTAGCTGATTAGAGATTTATAAAACAATTGGGACTGTTTACAATACAAATTAGAAAGTGGACAAAGCATTCTGGTAGTTGTAGTTAAAGATGCCATGGCTTTTAAGATATGATGCCAATTGATATTATTAATTATTTTTCAGGGGGGTTTACATATTGATTGCAATAACTTCAATGTGTTATGTRTTGAACTACAACATTCATCCAACAAAAGTCCACAAGTTAGTATTCTTTGTTTTCACTAGATGTATTCCAATAATAAGATTCAATAGTATCATAAAAAGTATTGGTAGGGTGATATGGCTAATTTAGGGGCCTGCAATAATGCTCTCAATTTTCAGCCTTCTCTTGGTACATTTGCTTTGTTTGTAGAATCTATTTCATTCATTTTTGCCAGTATGGTATATAGTATGAAAACCCAGGCTTTTCTGACCTAAACTGAAGCTTAACTACATATTGTATGTGAGCCATTTTTATTGTAGAGAGGGCTTATAATCTTGGCTCTCCCTGATTCAGTGTCCATGGTAGTGTATTCTAGCTGTGATTATAGTATGATTTTCTTATTATTTCAGAGTCATCTTTGTTGTATCATTTGGCATTGTTATAGTGGCTCAAACAATTCGTATGCTACAGAGCTATGGAGAAAATATTTTTGATTATACAGGGTAGGCATTATAAATAAGCAGTATTTAATCTTCATTTTGCTTAAAAGCTGTTAATTTTGGTAATACTTCAWTTTAGGATGCRTATTTTCTCCCATAAGTTAGTTGCWCACAAGTATTTGTAGGTATATCACASCAAATCACAATGGTATACCAGTCCATCCTTCCTAGCCCATCCTATAGTATATCACYGCATCCTAATAGTCTTCTTGRCGGCTATCTGAGCCATCTTGAAAGGTAGYYGTGCCTTTGCATCRAAGCRAGACWACCKTTGAGSGTGCAATGATAGAAAYCTTCTTTCACACCTACAGACAATTATTCACAGGTATCTAKYAT